GAATCACTTTTGTTGATTTGTCACCATTACATTATTCAGTGATGTCATATCTCCAATTTCAAACAAGATAGAATCATATCCAATATAATATTTCAGGAGCTCTTATTTCTTTAGTAACCAGACACTGTTGTGAGCTAGCCTCTGAATAAGGGAGACCTTCATACAAAAGTCTTGCCTTTGACATATACTGTCTGTGTCACCCTGAGCAAGTCACTGCCCCAGACAGCTCTATTAAGCCAGAGGAGGTGTGTACCTGCAGTGATAGAGGGAATTTCCTCATCTTGGAGTTCTCTTTGCCAATGAAATCTGTAAGATCAACCCTGAACCCTAAATGCTATTTTTCTTGCATACATTAGGTTCTTGGTAAAAATTTTTGGAGAATTAAGTGAGTAAAAACTTGTCTTTCTCATACAAAAATATATTTAGGAAATTTAAAATTCTTTTTAAAATGTCAAACATTAAAATTTAATATTAATTAAATTAAGTATAAAATTTAATACCTATAACTTTATAGCCATGTATAAGATTAATGTCTACGAAATTATACTGTCTGAAAGTGGAATCTGATCACAGCCATCTCTGCAGCCTTGATTTGTATAAAATGCATTGGACAGGGTCGGTGCTTATTAAATTGTTTGTTCAAAATAAAATAAAATATTCATGACTTGCTTGAAAATAAATAACTGGAAGCCTAATCTAACATGTGCCAGAATTTCATATTTACTTTTCACAGAGATGGCCAGCTATTCTTAAATCTGATGTTTTCACTTTTCAAGAGTTCCAGCCTTCCTAATTCCACTATTTGGTCCATTGGCCTAGAGTCCTTTGGAGAGCAGAGGAGCCCCAGGCCACGGGTAACACACATAACTGAATTTCCATCTCTTTCATGTTCAATGAAACCTATAAAACTGACCTACCTTCTACCTCCTACCTACCTCAGAGAGAGAAAATGATCTTTAGAATCATAAAATATCTTAGAAATAAGAAGGGAAGAAATAATGCGATGCATCATGCCTCTGAGGAATTTAGATACAGTTAATTTACATATTTCTCATTGCTGTGCTCCTAGATAAATACCCTCTCATCATCAGGTTGGCCATAGCAATTCTCAAAGGCCATCTAAGTTACAAAGGGGCTGTGACTTGCATTGGTGAAGGCTATACTTGCAGGGATGAAATCCAATACCATGAAATATTGAAACATTTAAATATTAAAGCATTTCCATTTTGCATGAGAAAAGATCCCAGAGTACCCACATTTTCAAGTGTGATTCAAGGCCTCCAAATATTGATTTTTTTAAAAAAAATAAATTCTAAACTTGACCGAAGAGAGTGGAAAATCTGGTCCTGCCCAAACAAAAATCAGAAATTCATAGAATCTCAGTCGGAAGAGAGCTCTGAGGACATCTAATCCAAGTCTTCCCTGAACAAGAATCTGGTCTATACTTGAAGACTTCTAGTGGGTGGGACTTACTGAGGAAGCTCATTCCATTTTGTGAGAGCTCTTTGTCAAGAAGCTTCTATTAAATAGCCAAAATATTGCCTCTCTGTAACTTTTATGCATTGTTCCTAGTATTTCTTTCTGGGGCCAAACAACAGATCTAAGCTGTTTCATATGGCAGCCCTTACAACTTTTATTTTTCCTTTCTTCCTTGTAAACAATGATTTTGCTCTGATTCACAGTTTGTAAATTATGAAAAGAAGCAGTCTTAATGTCCAAACCAGGAATCAGGAAGACTGAAGCTTTTGTGTTAGGAAACCTAACTGGTGTGCAGCCTGGTGGGAGATTGTTTCCAGAGCATCTTGGGATGTCAGTGAGAATCAGAATGACTTATACCACATCACCCAGTGTCAAACCTGTTGCATTATTTCTTCCCATCTTGCTTCTAATATACTTTATAATGATTCTGAAGAGTGTTTCCCTCTCTGAGGTAGGAGAGTTTTATAGGTTCCTTTGAATATGGAGGAGTTAGAAAGTCATTTGCATGTGATACTCATGGCCTGGGTCTCCCACTCTCCAAAGGACTCTGGATCAGTTGGCTAGGTTTAAACCTTGGAGCCATCCCCTTTCTTTATTATGCCTTTACTTGCAATTCTAAAGAAATCTCTAAAACAAAGTTTAACTATGACTCATGGCTAGGGTTTACCCCAATGGGTTTAGTGCTCAGTGTGCAATATAGTCATCAGGTATGGAATATAATTTTATTTATTCAACCAGAAAATACACAACACAGAATCCTATGATTCATACCCGAATCATATTGATGCAGACTTCTATGAACAAATAGAGAATGCACAAAATACTCAAATAGCACGTTATAGTCATTAGACTCACTCTGTCAAGTAAAGATACTTTGGGGGGGCTGCTGAACAAATACTCCCTGCATACCTTTGACCTTTACCAATCAAGCAACTTGGCAATGTCATGGAGGGTCAGTACAGCTCTCCAGGTCCTTCAAAGCATGGTTCTAGTCTTTCCAGCTTCAGGATTCTCTTCTTGTCTCAGAAGCATCTTGTTAAGGAAATCTACCTTTTAGAGGCTGGTGCCCAACTCAAACATTTTAGCTCATAATCAAAATTATCCCTGAGGTGAGCCTCATGGCTGGAAATGTCCATTTTCTGGATAGATATTCTCTGATTTGGACTCAGAAAAGTAAACAGCCATAATTTGGAAGTCTAGGTCACCTCTCAGGCTCCCTTGGACAAGAACAGGCCACTCTCGTCATGTGTTTATCCCATATGTAGGTTGCCATTTTTTTTTTTTTGTTCTTGTGGAGAAGCAATATGTGAGAGCACAAGAAAGAGAAACAAATACTCCACTTTTCACTCCAATCTGGAAGAGAGAGAAAATATACAAAAAGAATAGTAAAATTGGTGGGCTTTTATAGATGGCTTTTTACAGATGGCTTTTATAGACCACAAAGGAGACAGCATTTTTTTTTTCCCTTCTATTTACTCCCCAATGGGTTGGGTGGGAAACAAAATTCTTGTAAATGCTCACAAATTTGAAATTAAAAAAATTTCAAAATTTAAAAACTTATAAAGAATTTTTTAAACACTGCATATTCGATCCTTCATATCTCTGTCAGGACACAGGTAGTATTCTTTATTATTAGTCCTTTGAAATCATTGGTTACTGCTTTGATCAACATTCTTAAGTCATTCAAAATTGTTCATTTATATTATAAAGACAACATTGCATACCTTGTAATCTCATCCACATGATTAGGATGTCTCAAATTGATCAGAAGCTCTGCTGATCATCTCTTAGTCCTCCCACCCCCATTTTGCAGATTCTAACCTGTGACTTGGTAGATAGTAGTAATAGCTAACATTTTAAGACTCACAAAACACTTACTACACATGATTTCATCTGAGCCTCAGAGCAACCTCATGAGTTATGTATATATGGTAGTTATTATTATCCCCATTTTTGGAGAGGGGTTAAGTGACTTCCCTAGAGTAACACAGATAGTTTGATCAAAGCCAGCCTTACTTGAATCTTAAGACCAACACTCTAGCCACCATATTTCTTCTAAGATAGTCACTAATCCCAGGTTACAAAATGGTGTGCTCTACCTCTGAATAGGCCATGAAACTACTTTCGGCTGCAACAGATACCACAATTTCCTCCTATTACTATTAGAAAGAGATAATCATTATGTGGTCATTGATTGCTGAAGAATGTCTCTACTTGACATTAAGCTAGGAGGACTGCGCAACCCAGAAACAATTTGAAGAAAGAGATGGGAAAAAAGCAATCACCAGGTAGCAGGTAGCATAGGAAGTAGGTGAAAACACACCTAGAAAGCAAACCAACTTATCAAAGTAACTGCAGACCATTACATGAAAATTCTAGAAACAGTGACAAATAGGATGGATTATTGCGTCTTACGCAGAAAGTAAGCAACAAACTGAACAGTCTGAAGACATTGGTCCCCTCTACCACCTCCTCCTCCACAGGCCTCCATTAAATATAAGTAGCTCCAGAATCTGCTGAGTGAGATTCAAAAGAAATAAGCATTGGGCAAACATACATATTTTTTTTAACGTATTCTACTGTATGAAGGAATGAGAAGAGCTTTGAATTTGAAATCCAAAGACGTGGGTTTGAATTTTGCTTCAGTTAGAACAGTATTGGCTGGGTGATCATGAGCAAAGCTCGTAATTCCTGAGCTTCAGTCTCGTTTATAAATGAAGATCGTAACATTCACAGGATTTGCTTTATAAGGCTGTTCTGAGGAAAGTGAGCTAATCCAGTAGCATATCTGTCCTTCAGGAGCAAAGATTTTTTATTTTGTCTTTGAATCCCTAGGACCTAGCACATAGTGGCACTTATTAAATGTTTGTTGAATTTACCTTAAACTTTGTAACCTTAAAGAACTATAAATGGGAACTACTCTTTCAGTGCAGTTTCATAGATGTTAATTTGGCATCTATCTCCAAATTTTCAAACCTTCTAAATATATTTCATTATACCTTCAATGGCTATTTTGATTTCTGAAAAGTATTGATGATCTCCTAAAAAAATGTGTTGAAACTAGATGTTTGCTTAAAGAAATGACATTGGAAATATGAAACAGATGCAATCATCTTCCTATGATGAGAAAAATGTCTCATCACAAATCAAAAATGTCATCTTTTCCTGAGTTAAATTAAAAAAAAAAACTCCACCAAGTATCTTTCTTTAAATTTAAAAAAAAAAAACACTGTGAAATCATGCAAATAGTATGAGATAAAGTCAGGAGGCTGTTGACTTTTTCATGGTTCTACTTCCTTCTCCCATCCCCCTGAGTAATTTCATATCTGCTTACTTTAGGGGAGGTAATCATTAAGAGCAGAACAGAAATATCTTGGCCTAGTTCATGAAGGGCATGAAAGAAAACATGTGTAGCTACAGATAGTACCTTGTGACATTTAAATTCGTTGGTTAATTTTTATCTATCTCATTAATTGAAAGAGATGTTTTCTTTTCTCTTTTTCTTTTCTCCTTTGTGACAGAGCCCACAGAAAATCCATCTGGTACCTTGAAAACACTGTTGGATATTCCTGTTAAAGAGAGTTCTCTTTGAGCTATTTGGTTTCTTGATTTCCTTTCGAAATGGCAGCTGTCAGTGGATTTATAAAATACTCTATGTTTATCTTCAACTTCATATTCTGGGTAAGTGTATTTTTTTTTAAAACAATTTCACGATAGAAACAGGGCACAAAAAAACCCCCAAATTATGGATGAACCTGGACTGTAAGCTAGAGAAACAGAAGAGAAAACTATATTTTTCTATGGATTTGTTTTGTTTTAGAAAGCAATTCTTTGGCTAGTTTAAGTTTATTTGTGACATGAAAGATTTTTCAGAGCCCCCAAGATAAATATATCATAAATGTTTTTGATATTCCAGGCATAAAATCGATGAGGGACAGGACCAATAATGAAAGTTCTTTGTAGTTGTCAGTCCTGAAGGGATCATTCCAATTTGTGAGCACAATTGCACAGAAAAATCTCTGATCGCATTTCATCTCCATTCCTTTCTCCTCCCAAACCTTCTCACCTAGGTAGGATACAAACATGTCATGTAGGTGGGGTTATAGAATGAAAAAAATAGACTGGAAGAGAATGGTGACAGTCAAATAAAAACAATGTATTGGAAAAGGCTGGAAAAAAGGACATAATTATTACTTTAATCCTAAAAGTAATAAAGGCATTATCACCTTGAGGTTGAAAAATACATCTTTTTAAATACTACCCTTAAAACTGAAACAAGTTTTGTTTTTCAATCATGATGCTATACTTTCCAAACTAAAAGTCCCTTGGTTTAAACCAAAATCAAGTGGAAAAAAAAGTCCAGAGAGCACTGGAAAGCCTATATGTAAGCACAAGTAGGATGGGCCACTTCAGTGGTTGCAGATGGGGGTGGGGAGGGGAAATTAGTATGAAAGTTCTGTTGTGAGTACTTGTAAAGACAATTTTTAAGTCTCAAAAATTTCAGAAAATGGATTTTTTTTTGGGGGGGGATGAAGCAATTGAGGTTAAGTGACTTGCCCAGGGTCACATAGCTAATAAGTGTCGAGTGTCTGGTCTGAGACCAGATTTCAACTCACGTGCTCCTGACTCCAGGGCCGGTGCTCTATACACTGTGCCACCTAGCTGCCCTGAAGGCGTATTTTCAAAATAAGTATAAACTTGCTTATGTCAAATAATGGTATAGAGGATGAAGAATAATGAGTACTGATTGATTTTAGTAATAATTACTCAGTGTGCATGCACAATTAATTGTGGAGGTCTGTGGTGAAGATACTGTCATTTTTATTCTACAGATGGACTAGTTAAGTGACTTTCTTATTTTCATACAGCTAACTAGCAAATGTTAAAGGCAGAATATGACTAGTCTCCTTTGACTTGGCTATTGTAGTTTATTAGAGCACACAGCTCTGTGCTGCTTGGAGGAAGTAAGCTTGGCGTGAGGCATCTATGGATTGGTTAATGTTTTGCCATTATTATTTAGTCTGCACTAAAGATCCAACATTCTTCAGATGGGGAGTGTAGCATAATCACATGAATAAGCTAAAATTTTAGTGGGCTGATTTTTTTTTTTTTTGTGGCAATCAGGCTTAAGTCACTTGCCCAGGGTCACACAACTAGTAAGTGCCTGAGGCTGGATTTCAACTCAGGTCCTCCTGATGACAGGTCCAGTGCCCTATCCATTGTGCCACCTAGCTGCCCCTTGGATTAACTTTTTAAGCACTGGTTATTGGCTCTGAGGAGGACAGATACAATTTTTCTGGATTGTTTCTCTTTCTCTAAATGAGTTTCAAACTCTTTTTGGAGTCTAAGCAGCCTGGGTTAAGGAGAAATCTGACTATGGTTATGGTCGTGAAGTATAAGAATTTACTGTAGTATTTTGGATGAATTCAGCAGGAGTCACTGATTAAAGAAAACCATGCTGTAGAGAGGCAGTTGATTAAAATGGGACATTAGACAACCACTTCTAGAATAAAATTAGACTTCTAGAATGAGAGTTTGAAAGAATATTAGCACTAGGGTCATAGCTATAGTTTAGTTTAACCAACTTTTATTTTACATATGCAACTCAAATTTTCCTAGGCCCATTTTCTGTCTTTCTCCTTGTGTCTCATCACAACCTCATTATATTTCTGCGTAATTGCCACACTCCAACCACTAGTAGAATTTAAGCTCCATGATGACAGGCACTTTATTTTATTGTTATGTAAGTTGTTTTAATTGTGTCTGACTCTATGTGACTCCATTTGGGATTTTCTTGGCAAAAATGCTGGAGTGGTTTGCTATTTCCTTTTCTACCTCATTTGACAGATGAGGAAACTGAGGCAAACTGGGTAAAGTGACTTGCCGAGGGTCACACAGCTATTAAGTGTCTGGGGCTGGATTTGAACTCAGGAAAATGAGTCTGACTTCAGGCCTGGCACTTCAGCCACTGCACCACCAACTGCCCCTAAAATCTTTGAACTGAGAGTTCGAGGCCTCTCCAGCACTTAGGACTCTGCACATAATAGATATTGAATAAGCGAAATAAGTTGAATTGAGGAAGGAAATAAGTTTCGACAGATGAAGTAACTTGGCCACTTTCGTAAGATACTTAGTGGCAGAGCTGCTTTTGGAAACATTGTCTGAGTGCAATCCAATTTAGCAAACCCTCCACCCCACCCCACTTCCCCCCAAAAAAGACCTAATATTGTAGGATATAATATCAAAATATATTTGTAATTATGTTGTAATACTAATAGTTATGGGAATCAAGAAAGCTATGCTGTAGGAGGGACCTCCTCAGCTGAACTTTGATGGAAACCGGAGGGAGTTTCTTAGAAACTGAGGTGTGAGGCATTCCAGGCATTGGTTGTGATAAGAACTGTGCCACCACTTAGGTAGCTTTCTTTCTTTTCTTTCCCCTTCTCTGTAACCTCACTTCCCCAACCCTACTGCTTAGAAGCCATCTGAGCTACTTAGCTATTTTTTTTTTTGAACTTAACTATTTACACTGCTTGGATGAGATGAGACACTAACTCTTTTCATTTCAATGAAATGGAGAACCACTAGGCCTTCCCATGTAACTCCCCTGACACTGCCTCCTAAGGTTCTCCAGGACTCAGCATCTGTTCTATATTTAAACTCTCCAGACTCCCGGCACTTCCATCTGACCTACTGATGCAACCTAAGGATCCTCAGGTCCTAATCACCGATCCCTTAAGGCTTCCATCTTTTTCTATTTACTGAACTTTCTTCTATGGGCCGTCCTCCCCTATTAGAATGTGAGTTCTTTTGGAACATGGCACTATCTCACTGTTTCTATCAGTAAACCCAGATTTTATCACAGTACTTGGCACATTGTTAGCTCTTAATGAATGCTTGCATGTTCACTGAGGTAAGAGATGAAAGGTCAAGTTTAGAGAACTTCAAGTAAGTCAATTTGGTTAGAACACAGAGTGCATGAAGGGGAATAATAGGTCTCTAACTTGGAAAAGGCATTAAATACAAGGCAAGGGGTTTTTTTTTTATCCTAGAGCCATTAAATGCAAGGTAAGGAATTTGTTGTTTATCCTAGGGGCTTTATATAAGCAATACATTGTTTGAATCTAGGTGCAGTAGGAGCTACTAGAGATTTGTGAAGAAGTGTTATAGGGTTTTAGGAAGATTATATTGGCAGTTGTTTGGAAGATACTATTTTAGGGATAGGGCTTGAGTGAAGAATAGTGAGTCCTAGTGGTAAGAAAAATAATGATTCAATCAGTCTGTCCTTTGTCAACTAAGACATTTAATATAAAGAACTAGTCTTTCCTATCTTTCTCTAAGAGAAAGAATGTCAACATCATATCTCTTAAATGAAAGTTCTGTGAGCATGTATGAGTTTTTGTGGTGGTCCATGAAACCTTGGAGACAGATGAACCGAACAGTATGTACGTCAAAAGATATGTTTGTCTCTCCTTCGTGAAAGGTGGCCTGATCAAGTGGGAAGCACATTGGCTTCTGGTACTTATCTAACCTTCATAACACTCTTGAATCCATCCACTTCTTTTCAATCATGTGGCAACCATCCTAATTCAAACCCTCAGTACCTTTTGCCCATGATATTAAAGAAATTGATTTGTAAGATGTGAAATAACACAAGCTCATAGTATTGTTACTATCTTGTTTTTATCTCAGTGGTGGAATTAAGAAAAAGAAGGAGCTATGATAATAGCTCATGTTGATGAGGGATTTTGCCATTTATAAAACCATTTCCCTCATGTGAACTCTTCAGGTAGATGGGACAGATATCTCGTTTGTCTCAGAAATGAGAAAAATGAAGATCATAGACTTTAAGAGACTTAACCAAAGCTGCCCAGTTAGTGATCTATCAATTGATCAATCCATAAACATTTAAGTACCTGCTATGGCCAGGCATTGTACTAGGTGTGGAAGATACAAAGAAAATGAAAAGGCCTCTGCATCAAATAGCTCATTGTGGGAAATACCATTTATACACATAAAAATATATACAAATAAAAGTACATACAAAATATATACCATGTAAATCCAAGGTCATTTCAAGGATGAGACAGCATTTTGGGGGATCCTGAAAGGTCTCATAAAGGGGGGTGGTATTTGATTTGAACTTTGAAACAATCTAGTAATTCTAAGAGGAAGAGGTAAAGATGGGGTACATTCTACACATAGAGGATGTCCCGGGTAAAGCACTGAGAAAGAAAGACAGGTCATTTTGGGTGAACGAAAGGGTATAAGAATAGAAATAACGTGTCAAAGAAACCTGGAAAGAAAAGTTGGAGTCAGGTGATAAAAGGCTTTAAATGCCTAAGAGAAGAGAATAGATGTTTCCTTTAGGCAGAAGGGAGATACAAGAGATTAGTGAGCAAGGCACGTGATTTATGGACAATACTTTTGTAGTTATGTGGAAGATGAATTGGAGAGGGGTGAGTATTGAATCAGAGACCAATTAGGTACCTACTTATATGGCAGGTTCTATGCTAGGTGAGGAAATGACAAAGATGAAATAGTCCCTGCTTTCAAGAAATTCGCATTCTTTTGGGGAAAACAACATGTACACATGCAAGCATTGTTTTACTATTTTTTTTGTTATTATGAGAGGAAGACTCTGTTTAAGTTCCATCTCTGAAATATACTGGTTGTGTGAA